AGAGAGAGAGAGAGAGAGAGAGAGAGAGAGAGAGAGAGAGAGAGAGAATCCTTAATGGGAGATGGGAATTTTATAATGGGTATAATTTGCAGGGAGTTACTGCTTAGAAAGACCACTACCTTTGAGAAAGTTATGCTTCCATGGACAGCATCTTGCTTCAGGAGGAGAATCAGAGCTCCTGGTGGTAAACAACACCCAGAAGAGTGAGAGAACAAGGACCCACAGAGGAGATTTCACAGCAAATGGGAAAGAAAATCATCATGAAGAGCGCAAGGAAAAGAAATGCAGCACAGAAATCATAGTGCGTGGATGTGATGAAATGTTACTGTACTATAAAAAATGAAGAACATGATGAATACAGAGAAACATGGAAAGACTTACATGGGTTGATACAAAGTGAAGTGGGAACAGGAAAGCAACATACATAATGATTACAACAATGAAAATGGAAAGAACCACCACAAAACAAAGTAAGATGTTGAGAAGTTGTAAGAAACAAGCTTAGCACCAGAGATATGAAAAGATACTTCTCCCCACCACCACCACCATTAAACCCTCTCCATTCCTTTCTAGAAGTGGGGAAGGAGATGTTCCGTAGTTATGAAACATTACATATGGCATCATAATTTTTCAATATGTTCATTGATTGTATTAAATTTTTGCATTACTTTTGTCTTTTGTTTCTTTTTTAAATTTATTTGTTATAATCAATAGCTCCCTGCGAAGGGGATCAGGAGAAGAAATCCTGGCAAATCTCAGTGATATAAAAATAAAAAAGTAAAAATCTGTTTTTTAAAAAGAAAAGTTTCTTCTTCCCTCCCTGCTTCAATAGGGAACACTCATGTGTCTTCCCATTGAATGGAAAAATATATAGCCTCCCTGGAACAAAAAGGATAATAAGAAAGATGTGAATATAAATAATAAGAAAGAACATAGCCTGAGTATCTATAACTGTCCCAGTTCTTGTCCATGTGTAACCAGCTCCAGGAAAAGATGTGAGAAGGAGCTGTGGTGACTATCAGCTATTCCCACAGTGAATGGTGAAGAACCCACATAAACATTAAGGATGTCAAGTTGTATGGGAGAAGTTGGAACTCCACTCATCCTCTTCTCAGCTGCCAGGAAAGTTGAACTGAGAAGTAAAGTTTCCAGTTCTTTGAAAAACAGAAATTGTTTCTCTAGCAACTTAAAATATAGAAAATAGGCAGCTGAGCTCAGTCACCTCCCTGTTAACACCTAGAAATAGGCAATGAGACGAAGGCAGCTATGCTCCTTAAGAACATCGATGAAAAGGAATTACAGAAGCTTAATTTCCAAAGCCAATGGCCTCTTTTAGTCTTCATTTTTTGACCTCTCTGCCCTTTTTTAATGCTGTTTATCATACCTCCTTCTTGATACCCTCTCCTCTCTGAGATTCCATGGTGCTTCCCTTTGCAGGTTCTCATTTTTGTCTGGTTATTTCTTTTCTGTGCCCTGTGCCCTTCCCATCTTCTAAGTGTGGGTGACTTGTAAGGATCTGACTTGATCCTTTTCTCCCTAACATTCCTCTCTTCTGACCTCGGGTCTTACATCTTCAACTGCCTATTGGACATTACAAATTGGATATCTTATACACATCTTAAACTTAACGTGTCCAAAACTGAACTCATTATCTTTACCCCCAAACCTTCCCCTCTTACTAACTTCCCTATAACTTTCTAGGGCACCAGTACACTCCAGGTATCATCTTCCACTTCTCCCTTTTTCTCTCCCCTCTATATTCAGTGAGTTGCCAAGTCCTGTTAATTCGACCTTCTCTCCTCTGACATTGCTGAAGCCTGGTGCAAGCCCTCATCAACTCAAACATGCATCTTTAACATAGCCTTCTACATGGATTCCTCAAGTCTTTCCCTCCCCATTCTGTCCTCCACTCAGAGGTCAAATTAATCTACCTAAAGCATAAGCCTGACCATGTCATGCCCTTCCCTGCAATAAACTCCAGTGGCTTCCTGCTTCTCCTGGGATCAAATACAAAACCCTCTCCGTGGCTTTTAAAGTCCTTCATAACCTGGCACCTTCCTCCCTTCTTACATTTTATTCTTTTTATACATCATCTACAACCCAATGATATTGGCCTCACATATGATGCACTATCTCATGAATGATGCCTTTTCATTGACTGTCCCCCATATCTGTAATGTTCTTCCCATTTGTGTCCACCTCCTGGCTTCCCTAGATTTCTTTAGTTCTCCACTAAAACCCTACCTTCTACAAAAAGCCTTTCCTGGGACCCCTCAATGCTCATGCCTTTCCTCTGAAATTACCTCCAATTTACCATGTATACAACTTGTTGGCACATGGTTGTTTGCGTGTTGTTTCCCCCATTCTATGCTCCTTGAGCATAGGGACTATTTCTGCCTTTCTTTGTATCTCCAAAACTTAGCACAGTGACTAGCACTTTTTTGTTGTTGTTCACTTGTTTTTCAGCCAACTCTTTGTGACCCCATTTGGGGTTTTCTTGGCAAAAATACTGGAGTTGTTAACCATTTCATTCTCCAGCTCATTTTATAGATGAGGAAACCAAGGCAAACAGGGTTAAGTGACTTGCCCAGGGTCACACAGCTAGTGTCTGAGGCCAGATTTGAACTCAGGAAGACGAGTCTTCATGACTCTAGGCCTGACATTCTCTCTGCTTTACTACCTGGCTGCCACTATTTATTAAGATAAATGCTTGTTAACCTATTGTTGACTTCCCTGGAGATCTTATTTACTGTCATCAACTGGATTTATCAACTTCATTCAGACAGTTCTCAAAGCCATACATACAGTTTTTATTCTATCCTGATCTTCAGCCCCATATTTCCAACTCTCCCTTCTACGTGACAAGCCTCTATTGTAGGAATGACAAAGAGAGCAGAAATTGGTCTCTTGGCCTAAAAACAAAAGCACACACCCTAGGGTCTGGCTGGCATGGAAAGTTGCTCTAACCGGTGAGTGACTCAAATTCTTGCTCTTTCTTCTCAGCCTGGTTTTGGATTATGTTCACAACTACCACCTGTGCCTGTGTTCAAAGTGGAAACAGACAATGTAGGCACAGTGGGCACTTTATTCATAACTTGGAAAACCTAAGTGGTTACAGTGAAATGCAGACCAAAGCCTTTTCAACAAGAAGTTAAAGAAAGAAAAACAAGACCCTTAACCAAGCACACATTTGGATATGGACGAAGCTAACACCCCACCAAGTGCTTTGGCAATAGTTATTTAAGGACCATGTAGGGTAGAACAATTTGCTAAGGCAGTTGAGTGGTACAGCGGACAGAACGCCAGGCCTGAAGACAAGAAGACCTGTCAAATGTGACCTCAGATACTTAATAGCTCTGTTACCCTGAGCAAGTCACTTAACCCTGTTTGTTTCAGTTTCCTCATCTGTAAAATGAGCTAGAGAATTAAAGGGTAAACCACTCCAGTATCTTTGCCAAGAAAACCCTAAACAGGGTCACAAAGAGTCAGACATGACTGAAAAATGGCTAAACAACAACAACAATTCACTGATTCCAAAAGAAAGGGGAAAGAATTTATAATAGTTCAGTCAAGGAATGAGAGAATAGTGAACATACTGGAATCAAGAAAGAGGTTAAGAGTCTGTGATTATGTGGCAAACAGGATTACCAAGGCATTACAACTATGTAATATTAGCAAGACATTTAATATGCAGGCTAAGACATAGCTTCAAGGATACTTGTAATCAAAAGAGGAGGTAGGATAATCATAGAGCAGTAGTGGGTCATAAAGCAATAGATGAATAAGCCAAAGGTTGCATAGGTGTCCACAAAATATTAAAAGAATGCACAGATGATCTCTAAAGAATTGGATAGACACTTATGGTCAAGAATTTCATAGGACGAGGTTTTGTTTGGTGAGAAGTGCAAGAGCAAAGGGACACTGATGAGATCACGGATCCATCGACATAATCAAACGTAAGTTGTCTAGTTACCTCTAAGGCAAGTTAAAGCTTTTGGGAGATCTTTGGTATTGCCACATGAACATTTTTTTCAAATGTTCTCAGACCAGCATGAGATTAAAACATAATAATAGTTTTGAAACAAATCTTCCCAAAGCTACAGAACTTAAGAATGAATACTCCAAAAGATAGTAAAGATGAAACTTCTTATCAGTTCAAGAAGAGAAAAGATAAAAGCATAGATGATAAGGCACATGGCAGAATCTAGAGATATTTGGGAACATCCATACTTATGCTTTTGAGATACATGCCAGAGAGGAAAATATACCATCCCATAAGCTATCCCTCAGTCTCTTATGTCAGAAACAACTCTGTCACCATAGATCATAGGCACTGACACAATGTGGCATTTCTCAAGTTCCTTAAAAAGACAGTCCTTCTGAATTCTGTTCCCAAGGGTCCCAGTTCAAACTAAAAGGAAGAAACGAAGATTTCCTGGTTATGTTGTGTACCTGTAGTCACAGGAGCAACTTCTGTCAATGGGAAAGTGGTCAGAGCCGGGGTTATCGCTTGATTAGAAGTTGATTTCCGAGGAAGAACTGCTGTTGTTGATTCGAGAGTGACTGTAGTCGATTGGTGTGTCATTATAGTTGTTAGGTTAGACATGGCTGAAGTGGTCATTTGGAGAGCTGTTGTGGCTATTGTAGTTGGACAAGTTGCTGTAGCCAGATGAGTAGTTATAGCAGGAAGAGCAGTTGTAGCAGCAAGAGCAGTTGTAGCCAACTGAGTAGTTGTAGGTAGATGAGTTGTTGTAGTCAGAGGAGTAGTAGTAGTCAGAGGAGTAGTTGTAGTCTGACGAGTAGTTGTAGTTGGAGCTGAAGTAACCAAATGAAAGATATATCTGATACCAAATACAGTCCAACAGAAATACAGATTCAAAAATTAACACAAAAACAGAGAATGTACTCAGCTAAGAATAGGAAATTTTTAGTCCTGGAAGATTCCACTATGTAAAACATTCAGATTTGAGTAAGCTGGCTATGATTTTATACTACAGAGCCAGGTGTTTGTTACGTATGTAGATTTTGCTTAACTCTAATAAGGGTCCACTTATTTTTTAGTGAACATGGAAATAGGTACATCAACTGCTGAGATCAGTAAGTGAATTAAACTTTTTGCAGAGTAGTATACTCAATATTGGTTGAACTGTACACTTTACCCTACATACTGCAAGTTCATATATAAGTAACCTGTGTGTGTACTTAAAAATACAAATAACCAAAATTGCAAATGATATGAAAGTGAGAAATGATTTATCAGGTGTAATTTTCGCTCAGGAAGATAAACTATGTCTACTTTGGAAGCCTACGTAGGTTTTCAGCACTAGTCTTTGCTACTTCATATTTAATCTTCAATTCCCACTACTTCCTAAGAAAACAAACTCTAGCAACACTGTTTCATAAATCTGAAAATTTCCCTTCCTAACACACAAATGTGGGCTTACCTTTCTGCAGGTGCAGAACCACTTCCTTTTTGATATCATTAAACCACCCAGGCACCTCTACGCGACAACAGTATGTGCCAATATCGCCTTCATTTGTGTTTTTGATTGTCAGGGTCACATCACCTCTCTGGATATTTCCTTGAAGTTCATATTTTGAAGACTTTGACCATGACACTCGTTTTCCATTAGTCCTGATAATCTCTGCACTGCATTTGCTATTGGGACATGTATCCTTTCCCCAGCACATCACATGAGTCTGTCTATTTTTAACTCTGTAGGAACAAGGCAACTGTACGGAGTGACCCAAAAAACCCCTCACAGTATTTGATATGGCGTGGGCTGCACAAAAAGAGAGAAAAAGTCAAGTCAAGCATGTTTTCTTTTCTACTGCTTCTCAAATAGGAGGAAATGGAGGCAAATAGGGTTAAGTGACTTGTCTGGATCACATAGCTAGTGAGTGTCTGAGTTCAGATTTGAATTCAGAAAGATGAGTCTTCCTGACTCCAGCCCCACCTAGTTGCCCTGGGAGTACATTAGAGGGCCTCTAAGAGCCCTTACAGTCTTAGATCTATCTATAATTCCCAGTCAAGTGTACTTCCCTCTATACCACTCTCCCTTGAACTACAAAGGATCTCAAAGTTTATTCATTTTTTAGGGTTGTAGTCTCCAAACTTTTACATTGTTGAGCATACACTTCCCATTTTCTGAGTATTTTATTTGAGAATTATATACATGTACTAACATACTAACAATTATGTATGCTATAAAAAGAAAATTTTTAAAGAACTAAAGACAAAATAACATTTTTTTTTTTTTGGCAATTGGGGTTAAGTGACTTGCCCAAGGTCACACAGCTAGTAAGTGTCACGTGTTTGGTCTGAGGCTGCATTTGAACTCAGGTCCTCCTGACTTCAGGGCCGGTGCTCTATCCACTGTACCACCTAGCTGCCCCAAAATTACATTTTATTCTGGAGTCAATAAGGAACCTGAAGTTTATTAAGTAAAAGAATGAAGTGTTCATACCTTTACTTTTGGAAAATCACTTAGGCAGCTATGTAAAGGATGGGTTGTACTGAGAGGCTTGAAGTAGGAACACCAATAATGTAGCTAACCCATTAGGCCATGTGAGAGGTGATGACGGCCTTAACTAGGATGTTAAATACATTATTTAATGTAATTTTTAATAATAACAATAAAATTAAATAATTAATATAACACTAGAAATAATTAATTAATAATAATAATTAGAGGCCATCTATTCCAACCTCCTCCTTTTGTAGAGGAGAGAACTGAGACCCAGAGAGGTATGTTACTTGCCCAAGATCACATAGGTAATAATGGAGCCAGAATTCAAACACAGGCCTTCTGGAATTATTTAAAATTATGTTAAATTATGTAAAATTATTAAAATAACATGATGTTAAATACATTGGGGGAGGAAGAATTTTTAAAATTTATTTTATTTTTAATTCATGGAATAAAATAAGCATTTCCATAACATAATATAATAAAAAAGATGACTGCACATGAAACTGTAAATCTGTTATGTATAACTTGCTATTCCTTTTAAATATGTAATAAAGTTATCATGTAAATTTCTTTTTCTTTCTTTTCTTCTGTCCCTTCCACCCTGCCCTAGAAATGACTACCATTAGACACAAATAGGCATATATACATAAATACACACACACACACACACACATAATTATTCTATACTTCTATTTATCAGTTCTTTCTCTGGATGATGCACATAACGTCTTTCTTCATATGTTAACAAATTACATTAAATGAAGTTGTGAAAACAGAAGCCAGATTTGGCAACTGATTGGATATGAAAGGTGAGAGAGAGTGAGAAGTCTAGTTATGTAGCTAACACTTTGATCATGGGTGACTGAAAGGATAGTAGTGTCTTCTCCTGAAATGAGGATGTTTGGAAGAGGAGTGATTTGGGAAGAAAAGATGGTGAAATGGAATCTGGGATATAGATCACCACTCATCCATGCCTTCTTAGCCAGTGAGACTCATGCGGTCCTCTGGAAAATGAAGAAAGGGGTGCAAGGAGACGGAGAAGGATTTTTACAAATCACAGCATGGGAGTACAGAACTAGCCTAGCAGAGCTCCAGAAGGGGATCTGGGAGGACGTGTGCAGGTGTGCAAAGGGTAATGGGAAAGGTATTTGCTTTTCCTGCTCAATTGCTGGTATGGTGCCAGGACAGGGTTAGATTTTAATCACTTTGAGAGGCTAACTCCTTATGGACTACAGGAGCTTAAATTGGGTCAAGTCACATCTGTGTGTCCCTCTTTTGTGTGTTCTGTGAGCAAACACACACATATAGACACTCAGTAAACTCAAGTGGCTCCCTATTGCCTCCAGGATCAAACAGAAAATGATCTGTTTGGCATTCAAAGCCTTTCATAACCTCGCCCCCTCCTACTTTACAGTCTTCTTATACTTTACTCCACAATACATACTCTTTAATCCAGTGACATTGGCCTCCTGGCTGTTCCATGAACAAGACACTCCATCTCTCAGCTCTGAGCTTTTCTCTGACTTTCGCCCAGGGAGAGCCTGGAATGTTCTCCCTTCCCTGCTCTTTCTACTGATCTCCCTGGCTTCTTTTAAGTCCCAACTAAAATCCCATCTTTTACTGGAAGCCTTCCCCAACGCCTCTTAATTCTAGTGCCTTGCCTCTGTTATTTCCTATTTATCCTGTATATGGTTTGTTTTGCATATATTTGTTTGCCTGTTGTCTCCCCCATTACACTGTAAACTCCTTGAGGGCAAGGACTGTCTTTTGCCTCTTTTTGCATTCCCAGACCTTATCACAGTGTCTGGAACATAGTAGAAGTTTAATACATGTTGATTGAGGTTGGAAACTTGCTTACTCATAGAAGATGAGTAGTAGGATTGGAGCCATATTGGTTGATATGGTTTTGGAAGCAGAGGTGGTTGTGTTAGAGAGAAGGCTTGCCACAGGATACGAGGACTGCCACAGGGAGGGTGTGACGTGATCCATCTTCCCATTTTCCCATCTTCCAATTATTTAATCACACATGACTTGGGGTCATGCCACAGTCTCCCCAAGGGATAGAATCCCCAATTTGGAGACCACTGTACTAAAGTGTAGAAGACCCACCTGTCTTTCACTCAATTTTATGAAAGTGCTTGTGGAGTCAGTGAGACCAGCAACCCTCAGAATAATATAATTATTGGCCATAGATTCTGAAGAGAATTTAGTGGCCATCTAGGCAGCCAAATGGTTCAGTCAGGCCCAGAAAGAATATCAGGCCCGGAGTGAGGAAGACCTGAGTTCAAAGCCAGCCTCAGACACTCATTAGCTGTGTGATCCTGGGCAAGTCATTTTATCTCTGTTTGCCTTAGTCCCCTGAAGAAGGAAATGGCAAATACCAATCCAGTGTCTTTGTCAAAAAAGACCCGTACAGGGTCACAAAGAGTCAGACACAACTGAACGATAATAAATTAGAGGTCCATCTATTCCAACCTTTTACAGAGAGGAGAACTGAGACCCAGGGAGGTGCTGTTACTTGCCCAAGATCACATAGGTAATAATGGAGCCAGGATTCAAACACAGGCCTTCTGACATTACTTAAAATTATGCTAAATTATTTAAAATTATTAAAATAGCATAATGTTAAATATATTGGGGGGAGGAAGAATTTTTTAAATTTCTTTTATTTTTAATTTATGGAATAAAATAAGCATTTCTATAACATAGTATAATAAAAAAGATGAAACTGCAAATCTGTTATGTACAACTTGCTATTCCTTTTAAATATGTAATAAAGTTATCATGTAAATTTCTTTTTCTTTCTTTTCTTCTGTCTCTTCCACCCTGCCCTAGAAATGACTACCATTAGACACAAATAGGCATATATATAATCCAGAAATCTTTCCATGAGATTATATAGCAAGACAGATGGATCCCCTGGCTGACAAAAAGATCTTCAGTGATTGGGATCCCTCATTCCAATAGAGTATTAAACTCACTGACTTCCAATGAGTTTAATCACCCAGTAAAATGAGCCAACCAGAAGAGTGTTAAACGTAACAAAGCTACCCAGCTGCCTCCTGCCTGGGAGAGAAGAGCACAGGAGTCTCATTATTGCCTAGATATACATAACCAAATAAAAAAATGCTTATTTAGTTTGAAGAAATTGGCTGCCCTTGCAAAAGTATAACTAGATTCACATTTGCCTTATTTTGTTCTGTTTTTCCATTCAGACTTACATAATATCCTCCTCATACCAGAGTTAGGCTAGGCATAAGAGGATACCTAAAAAGTGTGTTTTGAGCAGTCTATAAGATATTCCTTTGGTTTATCCTTCTCCCTGCCCTGAAAATCTTCATCATTAAGATCACACTTTCAGGTTAACTGAAGAAGATGAAGCATGATGTCCAAAAGGACACTTAAAACTCATTCACTCAACAAGCTTTGGTAAGTAACTACTTATTTTGGTAACTACTGTGATCCAGGTATCATTCTAAGGGCTGCATCACACAAGCAAAAATGAAACTGTTCCCACCCTCAAGGAGCTTATATTCTATCGGGGGAAACAACAAGTAAACATACAAGTAATACAAAATAAATACAAAATGAAGACAAAGTATTATGGGAAAGTAAACTAACAACTTGGGAAGGAGAGTCCAGGAAAAGCAGCATATGCTACCTGGAAGGGGAAGGAGAAATGAGGCCAAAGAGCCAACTAGCCCTCTCCCTTTAAAATTTGAGCATGGTCTATGGATGGGAGAGGGCAGTTAGGTTGTGCACTGGATAGAGCACAGGACTGGAGTCAGAAAGACTCATCTTCTTGAGTTCAAATCTGACCTCAGACACTTACTAGCTGTGTGACCCTGGGCAAGTCACTTAACCCTGTTTGTCTCAGTTTCTTCATCTGTAAAATGAGCTGGAGAAGGAAATGGCAAACTGCTTTAGTGTCTTTGCCAAGAAAACCCCAAAGAGAGTCACAAAGAATTGGACGTGACTAAAAACAACTGAACAGCAACAACAATGGATCAGTAAATAGCCACGTTATGGTTCATGAATAGAATGGAATGTTATTTCACTGTAAGAAATGATGACTATGAAAAATCCAGAGAAACATGGGAAGACATAAACTAATACAGAAGTAAGCAGAACCAGAAAAACAATATACACAACATACGTGGAAAGAATTTTTTAAAAGAAACTGAACACTGAACAATTATGATCAAGAGATTTGAAAATGCACCTTCTTCCTTTCTTTGTGGAGGTTGGAGACAATGAATGAGGGACATTGCATACACTGGTGGATTTAGGTGATTGATGCATTAGTTTTGTTGAACTATTTTTTTTCCTCTTTCTTTTTTATTCTTTGTTATAAGAGATGGTTCACTGGGTAGGGGAGGGAGAAGGTAACATTTAGATTAGAAGGTTACATCAAAATGAAAGTTTTAACAAATAAACATTTTAAACATTAGCATAGATTTAATGATTCTGTCCTGATAAGCAGAAACTATTTTAATTTTAGTTTTTGTATTCCTAGTACCTAGTATAGTGACTGACATAGATTCAGTCCTAAGTAAATGCTTATTCAATTCAATTCAGTTGAATCTTTTATCAGCTTAACTAGTTGCTCCCTTGAGAAAATAAAGAATAGAGTCCTATGATATAAAATGTATAGATCTGAATTGGGAGTTTGGAAGTTGGGATTGGTGGGAAAATGTGGAACATAGGGCAATTCTTCAGATGAGTGGCCCCAGGTGTGGCTTTCAAAGGGCGAGAAAAGGAGAGTGATAGAAGGCATGAGAAGACCGTCTGCATTTACCACTTCTCTCCCCACAACCTACACACACACACACACACACAAGAGAACCCAAAGTCAGGGTCCAAAAAGCAAATTTTACGTAATTCACTATTTTATGCTCTTCCAGGCTATTGGTTGGAAGGGGTTAATAGACAAAAAGGAAACATTGCCCCGTTGGGAACTCTTTCTTCCCTTAAGAGTAAACATGAAACACCTGATTTCCTGAGTCCAATTTCCCACTAGAATCATAAATAAGGACTATTTCATAGATTTGATTTGGAACAAAGATATAAGGTATGGCACGGGTAAGGATACACTCTCTGGGCAAAAAAGGTGGTCCATGGAAGTTACTGCCCACATGGCTAGAAAAAACCCTGAACTGTTATCAAAGATAGATATAATACTGTTTTCATTCTTCACATTACTATGTTGAGAGAAGTGAGAATCTTGTGGTCAAAACCAACAATGCCCACTATTGCCCATGACAGGTGACTCAAAAGGTTTTTACCATTTTCAGTAAATCAGAAAATAAGATAGGTATGCTTTGTTAGCTTCACCCATAGCTATGATATGTATATACAACAACAACAACAAAACGTATCCTCCTCTTTTTAAAATTCTTTGTTACGTGATATGGCTCTCTGAATAGTAGGGACAAGTGGGACATATTTGAAAATGAAGGTGATTTAAAAACAAAATATGTGAATTTTTTTACAAGTATTTTTTAATAAACTTTAAACATGCCCCTGAAAATAATAAGCTTTTGGAATGGTAGCTACAAATCACAGAATTAGACCTGGAAGGGATCTAAGAGATCATCTATTCCAACCTTCTCATTTATAGTTCATTAAACCAAGTCCTGAAGAGGTAAAATGATTTGCCTAAGATCACACAACTCCTAAGGAATAAAGTTAGAATTCAGGGCTATGTCTTCTGACTCTATAACTAGTACACTTCCCTCTAGGCCATACCGACTCCATAATACTTATAATGTGTTTGAGAATTATTTCAACTTGTGACTTTGCCTATTAACAAGTGATTTGACCAAGGTCATAATGACGGAGCCAGGTCAAACTCTTAGATCTGTTGAACCCACCCAGTTCAATTGCTTTTTCATTACCCTGCCAAAAAAAAAAAAGCCAAAGTTATTTGCTAACTTAGTTTAATACATAAAATTGGAATCACAGACTGTGAGAGTTGGAATGATCTTAGATGCAATCTAGTCCAAGCTTCTTATTTTTCCCAGATAAGGAAACTGAAGTCCCCAAAATGGAAGTTACTTGCCCCAGGTCATACAAATAATAATTTAAAGAATTAGGATTTGGGCCTAGGTCTTCTGGCTCTAAATCCAATGTGCTGTTGCTTCACCTGTACCATTCAGACCAACAGCTGTATCCCTATACCAATCTCTTAGACCCTGGACTAGAATCCTTATCTTTAAACACTTACGTCAGTGTTCTTTCCTCTATGCTAAATGTTGTCCTTTATGCACAACCAAAAACCATAAAATATAAAGTGGAAAAAAAGAAATATCCCCTGAAGCTTCTCTACCTCAGCAAATGTCCTCTGACTTAACAGCAGGCAGGAATGGAGCTAAGACTGATAGGAGCTTAGATCAGAATAAACATCCCAGTGACTGTGGCCAAGCTAACAACACCTACTAAAGTATTTTCTGCTTTCCATTTTATGTCACCCCCTGCATGTGTTTCCTTTTAAATTTTGTTACCTCCAACATGAGCCCCTCCCACAAATTCCCAAGCCAGCAGCTGGAAGACCCCCAGTCTAAAAAAAACAGGAGAGGACCCATAATAAAAAGAGGGGCACCACTTGATTCTTCACTGAGAGATGTGTCAGTGATTTCAACAATCCATCAGAAGCATAAGGTGCATACTAGTGAATCACCCTCTGGGGAACTTTCCTGAACAAACCTCAGAACACTTACTCAGACAGAGCTCGATAACCATCCAGAAACACAGCACTCCACTGGTCATTTTGGCTGGTTCCTGATCCTGGGATTCTGTGTCTCCTTTCAAAATACATTGCTTATAAATTCTAGAATTCTGACAGGGTTGAACCCTCTGAGTTTTGCTTCTCTTTTTGCTTCAAACTTTTTTTTTAATCTCCTCTTAAATGGCCTCTCAAGATATGAGATTTGCTGAGCACACTTTCCTAGATACTGAGGGGGTTGTATCGAGGATGCCTGTGTGTGCATGGTTGCATTTTGCAATCTTTGCAATTGCTCAGCATTCTGAGGAAAGACAGCCTGAATGACCAAAATGGTGAAGTTTTTGTTTGTTTTTGTTTAATTTTTATTTTTGCCATCTCATGGGAACCTAAGGGAGGTGAAATGGAAGTTTGCTTCCAGCTGCCATCTATGTGATATTTTTCACCCTGATTCCTTGCAAATTTTTTGTCTTTGTACTAAAGGTGAGAAAAAACTAGGGAGAAAATCCAGTCACATAAATCAAAAATGGTCACAGTTAATGCGGTAAGAAAAAAAAAGAAAAGGTGACAAGAGATCCTTCCTTATGGTGGTGGTGATGATGTTGATGATGATAATATATGATAGATTCAAAACCTAGGCAAATCCATGGATATGGTAATGGTTAGGCAGGGGACGGGAGCAACTAGATGGTGCAGTAGATAAAGTGCCTGGCCTAGAGTTAGGAAGTCTCATTTTCCTGAGTTCAAATCCTGCCTCAGACACTTACTAGCTGTGTGACTCTGGGCAAGTCACTTCACCTTGTTTGCCTCAGTTTCCTCATCTGTAAAATGAACTGGAGAAGGAAATGGCAAACTACTCTAGTATCTTTGCCAAGAAAACCCCAAATGAAGAGTTGGACATAACTGAAACTACTGAACAGCGATAAAAGGCAGGAGATATACCATAGTCTTACCCCAAGGCTAAACTTTCATGCTGCTTAGATCTGTTTGTATTGCAGAAGCAAAGAACACTGGGTTGTTCCCCCACCCCCCAAAAAAACAAAAAAACTACAAGTGTTCTGTGCACACAGATCTCTGAGGTTTTTGTGACAGAATTCCCTTGGAATGAATTTAAGGCCACAGGGATTCCAGTCAAAAAATAAACACCAAGTTACATAGACTTTTTTTATTCTAAGTTACAGAGAGGTCTCTAGCAGAGATTCAGGCTTTAGTGATCAGGAAATAGAATTTTTTTAAAAAAATTATTCTTAAGGAGGCTCATAAACTAGACATATCTCCACAGACTTTGTCCTGGAACAAAGCATCTCCTTCTAAATAGGAAATCCTATTCTATCTGAGGCTCAAAAAAACAGACAGACCACTCCTTATTGGGAGGAGGAGGCAGAAAAGGCTTTTCCATTGACTGGGTGTGTTAGATCTTCTTCTTTCTAAAAGAACTATAAAAGAAAACTTATGGTGCTATCCATATCTCAATAGAGAAGTGATGGACTCAGGGTACAAATTGCAAGTTTTTTTTCACATGACCAATTAAAGAATTTGTTTTTTCTAGACAATATAAATTTGTGACAGGGTTTTGTTTTTCTTGCTTTCTCAATTGGGGAGAAGCCACTTAAGGAAGTAGGAAAACAATTGGAATCTGAAAGTAAAATAAAATTTAGTTAAAAAGAAAAAAAGAAAGCCTATGGACTATAATCAAGAAGAGACTTGAAAAAATGGATTGTAGACTTATTATCCAAAATGACAAAGGTATAGTTTAATGACAAAGAATTCAAAAATATATATAAAAATCTTGTGAACCAATGCTAAATTATTCAAAATGAAAGGATATATTGCATACTTTTTAAATTACTTTAAATTTTTTTAATTTTTATTTATTTATTAAAAAAGACAACTATAGTAAGAAATGCTTCACCATTTTAAACTAAAGGACAGATTATCTCCCCACTCCTACACCCATCAGAAAGAGATAACGCCCTGGCTAGGAACTCCAGCTAAACCAAAAGCTGGAAGCCTGGGGAGATGCATAGCTGCCTTTGGCACCAGAGACACCTTACATATGGGGTCCTCCCTGTGTGTTCCCTGCCTATATTTGGAGTGGGGTTCCAGTTCTGCCACTTAAGTAATTGTATGACCTTAAGGAAACCACTTTATCTCTGTAAGCCTCAGTTTCCTTGTTTGTCAAATGAAGGTTTAAAACTGAATAAACTCCAAAATTCCTTTTAATTCTAAATAATTTAATATACAGGGTTGTTGTAAAGGAAAGTGCTTTGTAGATAGTAATTTCATCTGGAACTCCCAGGTGAGGAAACTCCCTCTACCAATTTAAGAATGCACCTTCTCTAGCTGCCTGAGCCACTTAAGAAGTTAAATCACTTGCTCAGAGGCACATAACAAATATGTATCAGAGGCGAGATTTGAACTCAGGTCTTCCTGACTCTGAGACTAGCTCATTGTAAATGATGTCATACTGCTCTGGTAGTATAATTGTTACTACCATTATAATATTGTATAATATTGTACATTATTTTATTTACTTATAATTATAATTTAATATAACCATAAATACTTATGGGAAGATGTATTCTGAGCACCAATTTAAAATATCATGAACCCACCTCAAACAAAATAGCAGAAGTCAGAACTATCCTTTCTCTACACCTTTCCCCAAAAGGAAAAAATCTCTTGGTTTCATATTACTAGTAGAGGTTGCCCCTGGCCTTGGTGCAAGAGCTCCAAGGATTGGGGTGAGGGGGCTGGAGCGGGGCAGGAAGGAACTGGAATCTAAGATCAAGGATAGCAGCTCCAGAGGGTGGAGGTAGTCAAGTACAGAGAACACCTCCAGCTATTACAACTCCTCTTTATTTTCTTCTTTGGAATGGTCCAGCCTATTGGCTTCCATTTCTATATCCATATCTTCCCAAGCCCTGTATAGAAAAAGATATAGTTCCATGGATTTTCTATCTTTCTATAGCAAGTGTCAACCTTACTCAGCAGGAAACCAAGGAGGAATGGGTATGGAGGAAATGGTGCCATTGGGAAAGCAAAAATATATCCTGTGACTGGAGTAGATGTTCTGAGCTACTCATTCCTATATAAGAGACCTAAGAATATGCATAGGCAGTTATCAAAGAAAGAATAAAAAGACTCATATGTACAAAAATATTTGTAGCAGATCTTTTTGTAATAGCAAAGAAATGAAAACTAGGGAGTTGTCCATCAATTGACTAAACAAAGTAATGTAAACAAACGTAATGGAATACAATTGCACTGTAAGAAATGACAAAATAGATGATTTCAGAGAAACTTGGAAAGATTTGTATGAACCAATACAAAGTGAAATAAGCAGAACAAGGAGAAGAATCTCTATGATAACATTATAAAGGAAAATAGCTTAGAAAGATTTGAGCACTCTGATCAATGCATTAACCAATCACAGTTCTGAAAGACATGATGAAGAACACTTCCACAGAAAGGTGACAAATGAGAGATATAGAATACATTTTCAGACTCAGTCAATACAGGAATTTCTTGGCTATGCATATTTGTTACAAGGGCTTTGTTTTTTTTTCTGTTTTATTTCAGTATTAGGGAAGAGTGGGAGGGTTATGGAAGTAGAAGAGTATCAAAAAAAGAAAAAGAAAGTAAAGCAGATTGTTGAGCATCTTTGTTTTTTGTTTTTGCTTTTTTAATTCAGAGAAGATAACAGAAAGAAGGCCAGAAAGAAGCATGGACAAGGACAGTTTTGAAACCTACAGGTTAAATTAAAATTACCACATATTTTGAAAAGAAAAGCAAGCTATACAAAATGGAGTTCTGTAGTTTCATGTACAATCCTCTCTTTCTATTCTAATATGTTTGTGGAAGTACTAATTTTATTGGGTTTTTTTTACATTTTTTAAACAAAAGTTTTGCTTCTCTTTTTTCTTAATTGGTTATGGGGATAGTGTAAAGGGAGGGAGAGGAGAGCTAGAGGTAAGGAAAGAAAGAAAGGAAGGAAGGAAGGAAGGAAGGAAGGAAGGAAGGAAGGAAGGAAGGAAGGAAGGAAGGAAGGAAGGAAGGAAGGAAGGAAAGAAGGAAGGAAAAAATGGGAGTCATTGAAAAATATTTTTGAAATGCACAGTAGAGAAGCAAAAGGAAGGCCAGAAAGTATCACAAAGTAAAACAACTTTGAAAGTAACATCTTGAATTTGTTATACATTTTTAAAGAAAAGTAAGCTGCACATAATAGATTTACAGTTTCATCTACAAACCTCTCTTCTACATTGTAAATGAAAATGTTTATTTTAGTTGATATTTGTTAATTTCAGAATTTTAAAAATGGGGGGAAAACATATTAATGGACCCGTGTAAGCCAAGCATACCTAAGTCAGAGACTAATAAACAATTGCTAGAATTTGATCTCCAGCAGCAAGGAGAGAGTCCCATACAGATGGGCTTTGGGTATCTAAAACATTTTACATTTGATCTCACAACCCCATGAAGTAGGTGCTATCATTATCCTCATTTTATAGATGAGGAAATCGAAGCTTAGAGAGGCTCGGATATTTGCTCAGAGACACACTACTAGTGCAAGCCTTAGGCAATGTTATGAACTTGGGTCTTCCTGACCCTGGCTCTAACGTTCTATCCACTGTGATGTCTAGCTACCTTTAAAGAGAGTAGAGTAAACCCCACCGATGACTGTAATGGGCATTTTCTCTGCATGGATTACCACTTTGTGGATTTGGGGTCTGAGTTTCTAGGTATTCATACAAAAAAATTAGTAAATCAACAAAAATTTGTAGGGCACCTCCACATAAATGATTCTGTGAGAGATAGCCAAAAGCATAAGACAGGATTCCCATCCTCAGGGAAGTTCAGGAGAAAAAGAATAAAACAGGGAGGGTTATATAATGATACAAAGAAGTGTTACGGTTCTTCTAGTTGGGGGAAATTTATAGAAGTATATGTGTGGAAACAGGAATGACAGCGATATAAATAACAACAATAAAAACAATGTAAAATAAACTGAATGTGCACTATAACATGTAATATAACTGAATATGTAATATAACACAAACTGAACATGTAACTGAATCACTGGACTGACAGTGCCCAACTCCCAAGCTTGCCCCAAATGCTTTTAATAAAGGGGTTTGTTGGTGGAAGA